TGGAGTAGCAAGGTTATCAGATAAGGTGAACAGGCATTAAACACTTACCCAGCTCTTTTATGGGAAGAAAAATGTTAATCTAGGTCAGACTATTTATGCTGTTGTCTAAGAATAAGATCTCATGCTCCCTTAAAATTCCTTTACTCATTAGAATCTTTGTACAAAAAGGAAGATCTAGTATTCCAGTATATGTTCCACAAGAAGATAATGAAAAACAGATTCCAAATGCTCTGAAGACATTCAAAGAGATCTGCAGAGCTCAGACTTTCAGTAATACAGGACAACAGAGTCCACCTTACATCCACCTTGAAACACTGTTTAACTGCCTGAGAACAAACTCTCATCCTGAAAAAATGGAGAACATTTGCATATTATGTCAGAAGCCTGATGAACCACATTATACTAATGCTCTGAATGATGTAACTATTACCTTTTTCCCTCCATGAGAATTATATATGATGTAGCAGATAATATAAATTAAATATATAAAATGAGCAGCTACTAAATCCTCAACCTGAAAGTGTTTCAGTTTTTGCCCTCCATGTCTTTCTCCATCCCCTGAAAATTAAAACTTTCCTTAACTAATATCACTTCCTTTAAATGAAAGAGCAGGTAAAAGCCCTTTGCACCATCAGTAACAGTAACCCTTCATGGACAGTTGTGGGATGATAAAATTCTATCTCCACCTCCTCCCTCCACCCTTAAAGGTGGCTTTTCTTTTGCCTCATGCTATATACATTCTATCTAGTTTAGTATAGATTAAGAGTTTATGTTTCATAATGTGTGGAAAAAACCTGAGGTGCTCAAATAACATATACCTCTTTCCAAAATATCTTTCCACCAAAATGTGAGACTGGTAGCTAAAATAAAGTGGGGAGTTTTTCTGGAGGAGAACCAGAAGACCCAGATTTTGGTAACCCTGATTTCTGTTAATGTAACTTTTAATATTTAAAATACTTATCAGACAGCAAGACTACACTCATCAACATGAGTAGCATAAGTAAAAAAAAAAAAAAATTATTAAAAAAATCCACTTTACACAAGTAATTGGAATCACTACTTAAGACCAGCAAGTACACAACCTCAAAAAC